AGGCTTGCCAGTCATTTTAAAGTGAATTACAAAAAAAAATTTTGTCAGTACAACACAATCACTAACGTTGGGACTCGAAAATACGTAATTTGACAAAATTTTGGTATGACCGAGGCGGCCATACGTCCGGGTGGTTGGAGGTCGAGTATGTCGTACGTCGAGGAGTAGCTGTACTATTTCAAAACCTCGGATTAAAGATAAACCAGGTCAAATCAAATCTCATACCATGTCAAAAATTGGATTTGTTAGGTCTCCATTGGGATACCATTCAGCAGTCAGCCAGTCTACCAGAAGCAAAAGTAACAGATATGATAAACCAAATACAAGCCTTCTGTGTAAAGTAAGAGGTTTCTTGGCACGATTAAAAAAATAAAAAATAAAAAATAAATAAATATATAAATAAATAAATAAAAAAAAAAAAAAAAAATTACTGGGTCTGTTGAATATTGCCACCATAGCAGTTCCTTTGGGTACGATAAGGAAGAAGCAATTAACTCATCTGGGGTCAAAACTGTTTTACAGAAACAGACATATTGCTTCTTCTCTCCCTATTCAGACCAAGAATCATCTGTCATGGTGGACAAATTTGGATAATCAAATCGGTTCATATCACTGGGTTCCCCCCTCAAACAGACTTGGTCGTTTGTACGGACGCGTCTGAAATAGGATGGGGATACCATTCCTCAAAAGGTGAGTTCCGTCAAGGGAAGTGGAGCAACTCCCTTTGGGACAAACACACAAATACAAAAGAATTAGCAGTAGTCCTATTCTTTTTGTTGGCAAACACAAATTTCAAAAACATGATGATTCTGTTTGCCATGGACAAGAGAGCGGCAGTGTTTTGTCTCAATCATCAAGGCTCAACCAGATCTTGGCCTCTTCTAAAACTATTACATGAAAAAATAAAATAAAAAAATCAAAGTTTGTGTAACACAAACACTACCTCAAAGCAACTCGCATACCAGGAGTACAAAACAATTGGGCAGATGCGTTGTCCCGTCTCAGGCCAGTATCGACGGAAAAAGAATGGTCCCTAAAGATATCGAAGTTCAAGAGTCTAGTGAGGAGGTTTGGGACTCCACAAATAGATCTCTTTGCCTCACAAAACAATCACAAGATGCCAATTTATGCATCTTGGAACGATTGAATCTTTTAGGAAATGCTCTACTCATAGATTGGAACCATTGGAATTCAATTTATCTGTTCCCACCTGTGAAAATGATGCCCAAAGTGGTTCACAAACTCAGATCCTTCAAAGGTCAGGTCCTCATAATTGCACCATATTAGATCCTACAACCTTGGTGACTGTATCTGTTGGACTGGTGCCCACATACAGTGGGGTATGCTATAACGAATGGATTCTACTACGAATATTCCTATAACGAACGGTTTTACCTAGAAAATTGAGAATGCTATAACGAACGAAACTCCTACAACGATTTTTTTTTTTTTACTAATTTATTGTCTTTTTTATTACTAGTATTAATGATATTCTTTATTTCTGGGGTTTACATGCATATTTATGCACTTTTTTACAATTTTTACAATTTTATATTACAGTATTACCCCGCTTTACGCGGTTTCACTTTCCGCGATTTCTCATTTACGCGGTGCCTCGCCAGAACCGAACTTTCATTTTCCGCGGTGCATCTACTCATATACGCTGGAAGCAGCGCGGGCAGGATGCGCACAAGGTCACCCAGTCATCAAAACATTACCGAGTTCTTCACTCGCCACCCACCACAGCCGGCCTAAGTCAGTGATAGTGAGGAAATGGGCTTATATGGACTTTGAGGGATTTGACAAAGAGGCCCTGCAAGCCTATGTGGTGGATAGTGATACAATTGATACAGGTGAGGGCCAATAATCTGCCCTCTGCCTCGGAACCAACCCCCCATCCCTGTGTGCCCAGCCATCTTTTCTACTAATACAAGTGTTAAAAAAACTAATATTACAGTCGACCCTCGTTAAAATGGACTAATAGGGGGGGAAGGGTGTCCATTTTAGCCGATTGTCCGAATTAACCGATTTAGGGGTTAATATTGCATTATACAGCTATGTGTATATTCATTTGAGTGCCCCGTCATAGGAGTCCGTTTTCTCTCACTTCAGCACTCCTGAGTCGTCTGTTTTCTCTTAATCTTAGAGTGCACCAGAGACTGTTATATCTTAGTAGTGACACAGAATTTGATATTGCAACTGGGGTTGCAATTGTTGAGGCAACTTAGGTATGTCTGATTACAGTTGGAATATTCAAGATCCATTGTGAGTGATGTTTAAAGCTTCAACTGTCTTTATGGTTGGTAAAACCTGTCAAGTCTGTCAGTCTGAATGGCATGTGTGAGGCCTTGTGTTTGTACAACCACTAAATATATAAATATATAATGTTATGGTAATTATCAGAAACACATAGGCATAACGAGGTTTATTACAAAGTGATGAAAAGGATACTGTACAGTGGCTAGTCCACAAAACATGTAGCCATGTCACTTTATTTGAATGCCCCATCATAGGAGTCTGTTTTCTCTCACTTCAGCACTCCTGAGTCGTCCATTTTCTTTTAATCTTAGAGTGCACCAGGGACTTTGTTATTTCTTAGTAGTGACACAGAATTTGAAATTGCAACAACAATTGCAACTGGGACAATCCCAGAACCAGAAATTTGATATGGACAGTTCAGATTTCGTCCGATTTATCCGAAATCCGGATTAAAGGGGTCCGAATTAACGAGGGTTGACTGTATTGATATTTCTCTTAATTATTAATTGTGTGCGCATACCATCATAAAATTAAGATGTAATTTTTACTACAACGTAGGTATTGTGTCTGAAAAAGTGGAGTTTGGGGGGTCGGGCCAATCTCTATTGGAATTAATCCCATATGTTCTGTTGTTCACTTTACGCGGTTTTCACTTTCCGCGGTACCCCATGGGTTCAATTGGCCACGTAAATTGGGGTACTACTGTATATTTTTCAGTGTTAAGTGGTTGTATTTGGGGGCCTGGAACGGATTAATCCTATAACGAACAAGGTTCTAGAACCAATTAGATTCGTTATAGCATACCCCACTGTACACTATAATTGCAGCAAGGATGTCTTGACCAGGTGCTGCACCCTCAGTTCGAGATATCCTTGGCACTTCACGCTTGGAGTTTCTCAAAAGATGTTTAAATAGATTGTCGGGTACTTTCGATATAGTTAACCAAGTGATAGCAGGTCATAATCCCCAAACTTCTAAGCAATTTGATAAAGCTTGGAAATTTTTTCAACAATTTATCAGGTTAACGACTCCAATCACATGGTCGGAAACAGTGGTGTTAGAATTTTTAGATATTCTGATAAGGGTTAAAGGCCTTCAAGAATCGACAATTGCATCTTATAAATCAGCATTGGTTGACCCTCTGGCAAAGGGTTTTAAAATTACTTTGAACCAAAGAATTTATCAAATGCTCATATCGTCCTTTTTCATTCAGGGACCCCCTCGGCCTATATCCCACCTTGGTCTCTAGATAAAGTTACTAAATTTCTTATGGGGCCTAATTACAATATAAATCTGAACAAGGATAGATTGCTCCAGAAGGCAGCCTTCCTTCTAGCAATAAGAACAGGTATGAGAATCAGTGAGCTGATTTCAATTTCCAATAATCCATCATTATTGGTATCTTCTGAGGAAGATGTCACCCTTTTTCCTAAGGAGATCCTAAGAAAAAATAAAAGGGAGGATTTTCAAGCTTAACCTATCAGGATAAAACTGCTAATGGATGAGACAAGGGTTCCTCATATATTGTGCAAAGTTAGGAATCTTTACGAATGGTTAACCAGATTCCCTAATCGAGGCCCCTATGTATTCTCATCACAGGATGATGAGAAATTCTTTCCTAGTCAAATGACAAAATATTTATCTCAGTTCGTGAGTAAAGCAGACCCTGGCAAGAAATTTTTGGCACGACACCAGGAAATATGCAGGGTCTGTGGCCTTTCTGCGGTATATGAACCTCAGTCAGATCAAAGAAGTGGGCTTTTGGAAATCTTCAAAACCTTTCAAAACAGCTATCTTCATCTGTCTCTGGAAGCTGCTTCACATGTGGCAGTGCTGGGGTCCCCTCCCCCACCTAGTTAATCTTCACAACCAGGACCTCCTTCTTCCTCATCAGAATAAATTGAGTATCCTAACTGGGATACAGTATGTAAATTAACATTTTACCTTCCGGTAAATGTTCCTAATACATTGGAAAATATTCTAAAACAGTTTATAATTATAATCTGGACCTAAGCTAGCGGAGCCTTATACGCAATGTCACCTCCCTCTCCACCTCCTGCTCAGGTAATCAAAGCTAGACGTCGCATTCTGGATTGAACAAAAAGCCGTTTTTTCTAAAAACCAGTTTTTGTGATATAGTCCAGAATGTGACGTCGACATCCCACCCCTCGAGAGTTGACATTTGTTTACTACTCGCTCTAGGGCAAGAGATGGCGGTAGCAATGTGTGTGATGGAGGGTGGGGTAGGGGTTTTTGGGAATTGCAATTAAATGCCAGGTAGCGGCGTGTCCTCGTAATATTACGTATTAAGTAATTATTAGATGTTTTAATTGCGTGAATGTTGGCCTGGCGAGTTATTGCTAGGCATTAACATACCTAGGTATAAAGCTAGACGTTGCATTCTGGACTATATCACAAAAACTGTTAAAAAAAAAAGGCTTTTTTATAAGTCACAAAAATTCAACCTCTGAATGGGATTTTTGCTATTGCCTGGAGCTTGGTGATCCTCCATTATAGCTCAAGATACATCTTATTTATGAAATGATCAAAAATTTTAATGTATCTTTTGAAATTTATTGCTATTTACCTTATCATACCTTGGAAATTCCATGCAATCTCCACTGTATAAAGTTCTTGGTATCCTGGCAATCACCATGAAAATAAATCTACCTCATGACAAGTAAATCTACGATTAACATGGAAAATTAGAAATCACTCCTAGAAAACAAACTGTACCATACCTTTAGTTCTTGTACTTGATTATGAAGTTTCCTTCTTGCCATTTCTCCTTCCCGTAGTTTCTGTTCCAACTCCTCAATAGTCTCCTTCTGCTCAGATACCTGGGCTTCCAAGTCAGTTACTCTATTGTTGCGGTCATCTAAGAGCAGCCTAGTTGATGACAGTTGTGCCTCCAGTCCAGCATGAGCACTTGTCAGGTGTGACACTGTTGACTAGATTTATTGTTGGATTCATTATCACAGAGTATAAATCCAACAGGTAAATTAATATCTATACTGTTTTCTCTTGTGGTTAAATGAAGTGAAAAAAGAACTTTAAAGTACAGGCAACCCACGTGATACGGAAATCTGGGTCATGGAAATTCGCCCTTACAGAATTTTTGAAATTATGACCTAAAAATTTGCAATACGGACAAAAAACTCACCCTCACGGAATTTTGATAAATTTTAAAAATTTTCAAACATAAAAATCACAATATATGTATAACAAGGAAATTCACCAAAATCATAAAATTTATTTTGTTTGGATTCTTGGTGGTGCCTACAAGACGGTTGGAGGGCTGATCACCTTCCCAGCAGCCACCACAATACAGTGGGATATGCTATAACGAACGGATCCTACTACAAATATTCCTATAATGAACGGTTTTACTTATAAAATTGAGAATGCTATAACGAATGCAACTCCTACAACGAACGCGGATGAATACGGGACTATTTCGCCTGGCCCATGAATATTGTTGTACCGCGACCCACAACAAGAGCGTCAAGCGCCATCTTTGTCTCATTGTGTAGCCAGTGCACCACTGTTATTGTTGAAATTTTGTCTTTTGATGTGGAAATAGAGTTATTTGTATAAATGTTTTGTTATACTACAAATATTTTGTTATACAAGTGTACAATTGTAACAATGAATCGTCCAAAGCGAGTGAGAAAGCTCATAACTCTTGAAACTAAGAAAGAAATCATAAAGAAACGTGAGGATGGAACAGGCATTGCGAAACTTAGTGATGAGTATGGGATGGCTAAATCGACTATATGTACGATTTTAAAGAATAAAGAGGAGTTGAAAACTGTGCAAGTGGCTAAGGGAATCTCTAGACATAGCAAAGCAAGGTGTAATGTGATTGAGGAGACGGAAAATTTACTCTTAGTGTGGATAAAGGAGAAAGAAATGGCAGGTGATAGCATTAGTGAAGCTATAATTTGTGAGAAGGCCAGACAATTGTTTGAGGACCTTAAAGCCAAGACTCCCAGTGCAAGTGATAGTGATGTGCCAGTGTTTAGGGGTACCAAGGGGTGGTTTACTGGTTTCAGAAGGAGAAATAAATTACATAGTGTTGTGAGACATGGTGATGCTGCAAGTGCAGATAAGGAAACAGCTAAGGAACACCATGACATTTTTTTGAATGTGATTCAAGAGGGAGGCTCTGTTTCTCAGCAGGTATTCAACTGTGATGAAACTGGACTTTTTTGGTAAAAAAATGCCTCGCCATACATACATTACCAAGGAGGAAACTTCTGTCCCTGGCCATAAGCCAATGAAAGACAGGCTTACCCTCCTTCTTTGTGCTAATGCTTCTGGTGACTGCAAAATAAAGCCACTCCTTGTGTACTATGCAGAAAACCCGAGCTTTCAAAAACATTAGGAAGACCCGGATTGGTGTTATGTGGCGGTCAAACCCAAAGGCTTGGGTGACCAGGAATTTATTCTCTGAGTGGGTGATTGAGGTGTTTGGACCCAGTGTTCAGGAATACCTCAGGGAGAATAATCTTCCACTGAAAGCTTTGTTGGTGATGGACAATGCACCAGCTCACCCTCCTAATTTGATGGTTGAATTGCCAGAGGAGTTCAACTTCATCACTGTGCACTTCTTGCCACCCAACACAACACCTCTCATCCAGCCCATGGATCAACAGGTAATTTCTAACTTTAAGAAGCTGTTCACAAAGGCACTGTCTAGAAAATGTTTTGCGTCCACTTCTTCCAGTGATGTTAGCTTGAAGGAATTTTGGAAGTCACTTCAATATAGCCGACGCTGTGTTTTTAATTACCTCAGCCTGGAAAGAGGTTACTGTGAGGTGTCTTTGTGCTGCTTGGAGGCCATTGTGGCCTGAATGTGTCCTTCAAAGAGACTTTGAAGGCTTCGAAGAGTTAGAAGAAGAGGCTGTTGTTCATGAAATTGTGTCTCTGGGCAATTCCATGGGCCTGGAAGTGGATGATGATGATGTTGAGGAGTTGGTGGAAGAGCACAGTAAGGAACTGTCCACTGAGGAGCTGCTTGAGCTTCACAAAAAACAAAACGAGACACTGAAGCGGAGCTTAACTTCTGAGGAGTCACGGGAGGATGAGGACAAGGAGGAAAGCCACATCATTCGAGCCAAAGATCTAAAGGATGCGTTCTTTTGCTGGAGCAAACTGTCCAAACTTGCTGAGGATTATCATCCTGATGTTGGTTCTGTGCAAAAGGCCATCAGTGTGTTTAATGACAATGTTATGAACTACTTTTGGAAGGTCCAGAAATCAAGGTTGAAGCAGCCAACCCTGGATTCCTTCTTAACAAAGGTAAAAAAAGACCCTACAGACACAGTGCCTGTGAGACAGTCACCAAAGAGGGCTAGGAAGGATGACTCCTCTCCTTCCACCTCTTCTCCATAATTCTCTCCTCCTCCCTCCCCCTCTGCCTCCTGTCCTGCATGCTGAACAACACTAAGGTAAGATAAAGTACCGTATTTTTTACATTTTCCACAGAATTTTTTCAGTGTTAAGTGGTTGTATTTGGGGGCCTGGAACGGATTAATCCTATAACGAACAAGGTTCGAGAACCAATGAGATTCGTTATAGCATACCCCACTGTAATGGCGCTGCTCAGTTGGAATTCTTTCTCCAGCTTGTGTTCAGGACTGTATACCGTACTCGCCGGCGTATAAGATGCATTTTTTCCCATAAAAAATGTATCACAAATTACCCTGCGTCTAATGTGCCGGTATTAAGGATAGGAGGCCGAGCGCCGTAGGCAGGGGTGCCTAGCTAGGGAGTCTGGGACGAGCAGTAGCCCACTAAGCACAAAAATTTTTATTAATAATATTACTAATAATAAAATACTGAAAAACAAGCCTAATTACCACAAACTTATGGAAAATTTGTCGAAGACGTAAATAATGGCTAAACAGCAGAGGGGAGCTCACAACATCTCACTGAACCTCCTTCCCCAGCATCCGTAACCCACACCAGATTCATGTCTTACATTATTTAACGACTGTATTACCTTTAAGAAACATTTACTTATCAAAATGAAAAATGCCCCTAGAAAGATTAAAGAAATGTTAACAGAAAGTTCAGCCGCCAGTTAGCCATTTGCAATGAGCCGATGATGCCAAAACAATAGCAATGGTGCTACACCCTGGTGGCAGACCGCGGTAACACAAATCATCATAGCCAAAAATACGAGTTTCACATCCTGTCGGTAATTCTCTTAGCCAACAAATAAACAAGGTAGAGTTGGGTTATTCCCTTCATCCTCCAGTTGCACCTCACTCATCTAAACTAGGAGGAACACCATGAGTCACATTGTATCATCATAATAATACAAGGGAGACAACATTTTCTCCCAAACATAATCAATATGACTCGTAACTGTAATATTTAGCAAGATATTTCATTTAATATCTCTTATTGTTATACAAGTCACCAGTGTGACAATCATAAAGAACTAACTCACTATATCATACACCTCTCCCCTCTCTTATCCCTCAGCTCAATGAAATTTGCTTCTAATCCAACTAATTTCGGTTAATGAATTAGCTCCCATAAGGATTTTCAATTCCATTAACGAACAAAACTTTGATTAACGAAAGCATTACGAGAAACACGCTTTGTTGTGCGCATCAGGTGATCCGCTAGTCCGTCAATACAGTAATTGGTTCTATGTTTACATTCGTTTCCAGTGGAGTAAATATCAAGAAAGTTGGTCGCATTTTTTATATCAAAATTATTGGTCATTCTAATTTAGTTAACATATTGATAATATATACAGTACAGGGAACAGTTTTTGTGTGCCAATCAGCTGATCGAATCACTCATCAACACTTCTCGGTTTAACTTTGTTTACATTGTAGTGAACATCCAGTTTGTTGGTCTCTTGATATTTTTTTGCATTTTTACATTAAAATTATTGGTCATTCTAAAATTTAGTTCACATATTGATAATATACAGTGCAGAAATTATTATGAAACATTGAGGCATTAGAACCAATGCACTCTGTAAAGAATATGGCATGTCATCATCGACTGCCTCTACAATCAGCTGTTTGATATTTAAACAAAGCTGCCAGGAATATGACATACACACCTCAAAGTAAGTTAAAATATAGTATTCTACTGTTTTATTTTATTACTATACAGTATACTGTACAGTACAGTACTACAGTACAGTACTGTATTTTATTTAATGTTTTGTTAATTCTATTACTGGTATACAGTACACTGTATGTATTTTTTCTGTGAGTTGGAACTAATTACCCAATATCCCATTGAAAAAATAGATTCAGTTAACGAACGACTCCCGAGGAACCAATTGTGTTCGTTAATCGATGACCACTGTACTTCCGTACAGAATTTTGGTTAATTTATTACGATTTTCGAAAGAAAAATCATGATTATAAAACAAAAAATTTCTTCAAAATTATAAAATTTACTTCATGTGGATCTGGTGGTAGCCACACGACAGCTGGTGGGGCGGCTCACCTTTCCAGCTGTCAGCAGCCACCACAACAATGACCACTGCTCAGTTTCAATTCTTTCTCCAGTTTGTGTTCAGTTTTGTGTCTGTGTTACTGTGTACCCTTATTCAAGATGAGTGGAAATAAGACCATCAAGTTCAAGCGAAAGTAGTGGTGATAAAAAGAATCCATAAAGGAATTAAGTTGGATTATAAACTTGATGTTTTAAGGAGGCAACTCCCAGTAACTCTGATTGCACCACCTCCTACAGCACTCAACATCTTTTCTGGTAATTAAATTCAAGTACAGTGGTCCCTCGATTATCGAGCACAATTGGTTCCACAGAGTCAGTCGTTAACTGAAAATTTCGTTAAATGAATTTATTAATTCAATGGGATATTGGGTCCAGTCGACCCTTAACATACGCGGGTTTAGCATACACGGATTTGCAAATACGCGGATTGCCCCGCCGGAGGAATATTCTGTACATT